CCCCTTTCCCGGCGGATGCAGCCCAAGATGGTCACACCCAAGAATTGGACAATTGTGCCACCGACCTTGGCCCAAGTGTTACGGAAAACGGAAGAACTGCGCCTTTGATGCGCCACCTTCAGAAATCGCATGGAGCCCGATGATGTCAACAATAATTCTTTTGTGAACGCGTACTTCCGGGTTTCCTCCTGATCCCTGGTTATCTTCAAGAGGATGCTACCACAAAAAACCAGGCAATGGACACGCAGCCTCCGGATCCTGGCTTGGATATGGATGTCGGGGTCCCACATATACTTCCCAGCGACGGCGGCCTCCAGGCATCGGAACAAAGGGTGCAGACGTGTCACCCGAGCTCTGTTGGCCATGTGTCATGTTTGGGCGCCTGCAGATTTGAAGGCTGCACCTCTCCCAAGGGTTGTTTTGTGGGTCCAACCGGCCTGTATCCGTATTTCTTGGGTTGGCCGTCTAGTCTTGGAAAACCGGATGCTGCTTTGGTGCAAACAAAGTTCGCATGATGCATTCAGCCTGTGGGTCTTGTTGGGAACTTGCTAAAGCCGTGTGCTTATTGCCTTGTAGTGCACCCTGTTGTCGGGCTCCCCGTGTCCTAGCTGCAGCCCCCAGGTCCGAAATTCCATACCTGTATCCTCCCTAAAACCCATAGACTGGCTTGGCTGCTGAAGAACCCAGATCTCCGCACAGCAACCAAGGATGCCAAATACTTCCTCAGTCGTCAGCGGGCGTTTGGCTTTTGATGGTTTGGCCGCTGCAAAGCGCTATCCTGCCTTTGACACACGGGAGGACCTTATGAAGTCTGAGTCCGACAACATAACAACGGGGCTGAGCGAGGCCAACATCGGCGCCTCGTTTTGTTGCCGGCAAGGGGGGGTCTCTTTGAGTCTTTTGGACAGCTAAAGAGGCCTCAAAACATGCTTCCTATTTTAGGGTTGGCCGAATATGACACATCACACTCTGATACTTGGTGCACCGCGGAACCCCAGAGTTGGGTCAAGGGAAGGGACCCCAAGAAAGTGGAAGCCTGTAAAAGCCAGTTCCTTCCACTGGACAGAGGCTCGGACTATTGGCAAAGGGTTAGATGATGGGGGGAGGGGTGGCAAGAGGGCACGTGCAGTGTGTAGGAACGTGCTTCAAATTCCTTTTTCTATTGGTGCCAGAGGTACACTTTGCAGGACATGCAGCGGAAAACATCACCAAAACAATCTAGTTTGCTTTGAGTCCTTGTTTATTCCTCGCTTTCTGTTTTCCTTTTTTTATTTCTCTTTCTTTCCCCTTCTTTCTCATGGCTTCCTCTTCATTCTTCTGTTTTCGTCTTGTGTGTCTTTCGTTGTCTTTCGTTCTCTTTATTTGCTTCTATACATATGTATGTGTTTGTCTGTTTGCTTATATTCCTTCCTTCCTTCCTTCCTCCCTTCCTTTCGTGGATTCCTACGTTTTTACGTATTTCTTCCGTTGTTGCTTTCTACGCTTGTCTTTATTTATTTATGTGTTTCCTTTGTTCTTCCTTGTTTGAAATTCATAAATACATCCTTTTTTTTAGTTCTTTCCTTTATTTTGGGTTCTTTAGTTTTCTGTCATGTGTTTTTTCTACTTTTAGATTTGTGTTGTTTATCTTGATTTATCTTATTTATAGTTATCTATATGTTGCCTTCTCTTGCGTTATCTTGCTTTCTCTGTCTTTCTCTTTCTTGCTTTTTCTTTCTTTATTTCTTTCTTTCTTTCCTTCTTTCATTCTTTCTTTATGTCATTCATTATTTCTTTCTTTCTTTCTTTCTTTCTTTCTTTCTTTCTTTCTTTCTTTCTTTCTTTCTTTCTTTCTTTCTTTCCTTCTTTCCTTCATTCTTTCTTTCTGTCTGTCTTTATTTCTTTCTTTCCCTTTCTTTCTTTCTTTCTTTCTTTCTTTCTTTCTTTCGTCCTTTCGTCCTTTCGTCCTTTCTTTCTTTCTTTCTTTCTTTCTTTCTTTCCGTCTTTCTTTCTTTTCTGTCTTTGTTTCTTTTGCCAGTGATCTTTTAAGTTGCATGGATGGCGGGATCACGCACCTTACCACGCGAAGCTTGCATCAGTTTAGCCCTGTCCTGGCCGACAAGTTTGTGCTGGGGCCACTTGGCTGAAGCTCCGGGCTGCTCCAGAACAACGTTTTCTGGGAACGTGGAGTGGGCAGCTTCTTCCTAAAGTGGGACGGAGTCACATGGGGCTCTAACGAAGCGTTTTTGGGTATGCTGTTGCCATGGGGTTCGTGCAGAAAGGAGGTGAAAAGGCCTTTAGAAGAATGCTTCCGACACCATCCTTCGCAGGAACAAGGGTGAACGGCCCAATCAACTCAACTGTTCGGATTTTTGGCAGCCGCAACTAAACCGGCAAGCCCCAGCTGGCGTAGCTGCGGTTTGCTTTGATTCCCGGGCCCAGGCGAGATCATCAGTCAGATGACCGCCGAACGGAGCGAGGCGTCACTTCACAAGAAGCAGGCGAAACTGGCCCGCCCGACTCGCCCGACGCGACAGGGGAAAACTCATTGGATCCAAGAAGCGTGGTGGACCCTTCCTATGGTTCCTATGGTTGTTAAGGGCCCTTCAAATGGGAGCCATCCTTATAGCGTTGCTTTTTTGGGAGTCCCGTGTTTTGGGGGCCCCTAACAACCATGGGAACTTCTTGAGCTCTGTTGTCGATTTTCCTCTTTTGCGGAAAGCCAAGCAAAATGGAATCTGGGGATGCCTGCTACCTTCCGCTAAGGTAGATATGGCAGTGATATTTGAGGGGTTTGTAGCAGAGCCGGGAGCGGGCGTTCGTTACACATCCTGGTTCATACCCTATGTAACAAGACCTGATGGCTCGTTCCCCCTTCTTTCTCGTTTCACACCTTCGTTGCGTACCTCAGAAGTGTCCAGTACCGCTGTACCGCTTTCCCGTCACATACCTACGCAGCAAGGACCCCCGCAATGTACCTCCGAAACAAGATTCGTGCCGCGCGTCGCGCGTTGCACCCTCAGGAAAAAAACATAGCCCTATGTGCTGACTTTAGACTAAAATTTCTTCGGGCTGCTCTGTCTACGTGAATTGCCTGATGGCATGTCACGTCGTTTGTTTTGTGGTTCGCGTGTTCAATCACCACCTTCCAGTTTCCAACTCCAAGTGAGCTTTTTTTGGCGTCAAAATAAGGGCAATATCCGGAACCCTTCGCTTTGAGGGCGAGCGAGCCGGCTTTGACATGTGGCGCTTGGCAAATCAGGGTTTGAGCCCTGCAACGACCTGGAAGCAAACAAGATGCAAGTTTCAGGATGTTTCAGGGTTCGAAGCGTTTCTGGCCTTTTCGGCTTCCAAGCCGAAAGGGGAGCGATTTTGGTCGCCTGGGCCCTTTGTGTCTGAAACGGGGATGAGAATTCGGTGCAAGTCTTGCGAGCTCCACGTTCAGGTGATCCGCTCCAGAACCCTGGACATGTTCATGGCCGAGAGGCATCTTGGCATTAAGGATGGTCCCTCCTCGTGAGTGATGGCTTCGCAGCTGCAACCATTTTCCTGGTCTCAAGGAAAGATGCAATAAGGAACAAAAAGCAGACAGGGGACATGCAAAACCCACAAGACCTTTCACAAAAGTCAAGGGTCCCTTTTGCGTGCCAACCGTCAGTCAACGAAAGCTGGGATACCGAAAGTGCAATGCCGGCCTTTGCTCCACCATTTGGCATCCTGCAGCCCTTCCTTTGAGAAACCGGTACGGCATAGTCATAAACTTGTGCGTTCTTGTTTCTATTGACGTCTGTGTGCTGGATTTGAAGCGCCCTCATGCTCATGTAGGGATAAGCCTCCTGCAACCCTGAAATTTCCTGAGGAAAACGCCCACCTTTTAAGATGTGCTAGTCCCAGTTTGGGAATCAGGCCCCAAGGTTCTGTGTCCATTTTGCTTTTCCCGCTTGTAATGAGCAACTAGAGAGCGGGTCAGGGCCAGTACGCCTTCAAACGGCAAGAGGGGCCGTGCAATCCGTGGCCTGGCAAAACCACTCCGAACCACTGCCGAGGTAATGCTTTGTAGGACGAATGTTCGCTGGGAACAGCCACAAAACATGTGGGCATGATTTTGAACATATTCGGCCACATCCCGAGTCGCCAATTCCTGCGCCCGAACATGATGTTGTTTCTGCATAAGCGACTTCCGGTGTGCTGTCAGAGTCGGACGCTTGGAACTTGTTGGTCTCTGCCCAAATCTTATGTACCCAACACCTGGCGTGCGGTCGGCGCATCGAGTGGACCAGTGGTCAAATTCGCCAAGTTCACACCCCTTTGAAAGAAGCACAGGGCACCGTGTCAAAGCAGCCAAGGGACTTGTAAAACTTGAAATGCCCCTTTTCGTTTCCACAAGCTGCAGGCACACAGATCCTGTTTTGGTTTGCGACAACTTGTGGCAATCCGCGCGTTCTCGCCAGGACTGGCGGCTGGGCGACCTTTGTGAAAGGCGCGGCTTCAGGGCTCATGATGCTTGATGCTCGCGACTGCCAGACACATTCCTCGACATGCGCATTGCTGCAGCCCCCAAAGCATTGAGCTTCTCGCTGTGCTTCAGAGGGATCTGGACCCAAGCGGCCCAACACGGCTAGGCCCAACACGGCTAGGCGTGTTTCCGCAGAACAGTGGGCAAAGTACATGGTTCACGAACAGTGGATTGTCATAAGTCTCAGGGGATGCCAGGGGGTAACTCTTTGAACGCATAGCCGTGGAAATCATCATTCAAGGATTCCTGGCTGTTACTCATGCTGAGATGCATTGAATACTGCTGCTCGTCTACGGAAACCTGTTCAACCTTTTCTGAAACGCGGAGATGACCTCGAATTATGTCCTCCAGTGATTTGAGGAGGGAGTGGTTGCTTCAGCTTTGAAAGATGAATTTGGAGGCGAAGCGCTCCAGTTCCTTGCCACTCGCGGCATCAGTTTCTGGACAGACTCCGCTCGGAGCCAAAAGGGGAGAATTTCGCCGGGCAAGGAATGAAAGATATCGAACCCCGAAAAGCGGAGCCAGGGCCAAGTGCGCGGTTCCGCATTGAATCAAGCCACAAGCGTTCAAGGATCAAACTCGGAGTCAGCTCTCTCACATGTTGCTTCACGTTGACCTCTTGGAGTTGCAAGCTTTTTGGGGAAGACCGTTGTTCCCAAGGTCGGACTTGACACAGGAATCTGAAGGGCCATGTTTTGAAGGGAAAAAGCGATGGGAGGAATGCTGGACTACGTGGCGGGGGTCTTGGTGTTGCTGAACTCCCTGGTGATGCTCATCGAGTTGGAGATGGAGGGCTCCGAGCTGGGAGGGCTCTTGGGCTTCCGCGAGCCGGTGACCTTTGCGGCCCCTCGCAAAAGCAAAAAAGAGGAACAGTTCCCTGGGGCCGCCTTTTTGTTCCTCTCTTTTGTGGGGAAGGGCGCCGAATCCTTTACACTCAACCAACCCAAAAAAGGATGCCCCTGCATTTCCCCCCCCCCCTCCCTGGCCACTGGGCATCTACTTACCGCTGAGCGGAAGGACTCCCGGTTTTTGGCCTGGGTCTTTTTTGGACCTGAAGTGCATGTGACGAAATCGATCGACGCAGACACCACTTGGCCAATTTTGCCACAAGGTTCAGGATGGGCGACTGTGGCTCACTGGAACCCGCCCATTTGTGGGATTTGTAGAAGCAGCCTTGATCATGTGTTCTTTTTCCATGGTGGTTCTTTTCTGTGAGCCTGAACGTCTGGTTGTGTGCTCGCTCCGTTTCGGACCCTGGTATGATGCTTTTCTGGTGGTGGCCAAATTGATCATGCCACTATGAGGCCACACCTTCCCTAAAGGGCCCCAACAAGTCAACTGATTCAATTGAAATTTTGCATCAATTGGACAGTCTCAGAGTTCCTCGAAAGATGACTTCCCTGGTTGGGCATTCGACCTTCCGTGGTGATCAGCCGAGTGGTGCTGAATTTGACACGCATCAAATACATCCCAAGTAGCGCGCCGATTTGCATGTGCTTCTTGGAGAAATGCAGGGGGACCCTTTGAAAACGCCCGCAAGCCCATTCCCACACCCTTTCTTCGGAGCTTCCAAGCTTGAAGCAAAGATGGTTGCGTATCCTCAAACAACCTCCCGGAAAGAAACCAGGGTGTGTCATTTCCCCTTTTTATGGTACGTCAGGCGCGTTTTTTGTGCTTGCGCGGCTGTTCCCAGTGTTTTTCGGTGATCTCTGGACCCGGTTTTCAGATTTCGCGAACCCGAGACCTCCCTGTCGGTGATCCGGGTCATCAACGACTCCTTCGGCATCGCCTTCTTCCTTGAGCTCTTGATTCGGATCTGCGTAGAGCGCACGCACTTCCCTAAGGACCCGTCAAGACGTTGCGGGCTGCGGGGTGGTTTTGACACGGTACATCTTCGCCATTACACAGTAATTACCTTCCTTAAACAATAGGGGGAACGGAAACTTCGGAGGGAAGTGGGGGTCGGCAATTTTTCCGACCCGTTGTTGAAGGCAATAGAGTGTGTGCTGCCATGGCAATGAGCACGGAAAAGAGCACAGAGCGGAAGGAACTGCAAGGCTCCTGATTTCGCTTTGCTTTCAGACATCTTGGACCAATGCTGCTGCACGGGCCGTGACGAAATCACAGCCGTGGCTAGACCAACCGGAAATCCAATCATGTGCCAACGCTAGCCCCGCTGGTTTGCTAGGGTCTAGCTGTGTTGCTCGGCTTGGGCGTGTTGCGTAGAAGGCAAAAGGAGCAACTTGTGCAGCACGCGATGCTCCCTGAGATGGCCACTTCGGTACTGTCCTGGCTCCCACGTTTAGTATGTCAGGGTGCAAAGGTACAGGCTACAGGCAAGTTCCATGTGAACTTTCCCACTTCCAAACGTCCTTCGACGTAAATGCAGTCAGGCTTTCCTTGGGTATTGCATCTAACATCTGCCCTGGTTGAGCGCTGAGTGATGCTATATCGAGTTGACCATGCCAAACGTGCATGAGGTCCTATTTGATGAAGGGCCCAATCATGGGAGATTCAAATTTTAGGTTTAGAGATGTTCTCTTGGACTCCTGGAAAATGAACGTTAAGCCGCCGAACTGTTACCGTCACATTTTGATACACTGTATGTGTGGTTCGAATCCTAGGACTTCGCGAATTGGTTCGACACCGCTCTGGTGATTGCCGGGCTCGCGGACTTTGTCTTGAACCAGTCCTTAAGCCAAGAGGTGGGGAGTTAGTCGCCCTGAAGCCTCTTAAATGGACGGCACTAGCTGATCACGGATCCCCTTTTTCTGCCTTTCTACGAACTTATTTTTCGGATCAAAGGGTCCTTTGCGGGTCAAGGTAGTTGCAGGTCGCTGCTTGGCCGCGAAGCATCAATAGTTGCACAGATACGTTACGAATGGTCAAATTGGCAACATGTGACTGCGCTTGCCACGGCTTCAGATCGCTGGTGCAATCCTTCACACGTCGCAAACAAGGAGGGAAAGGATTTTCAATGGTTGGACCCGTCTGCTTTTTTTGGGCACGGCGATCCTCAAGAGGATAATTCTCCAAGTTCGAAAGTAGGCATCGCGTTCATGCACGGAATGGGAAGCGACAGCATCAGCACTTGGGCTATCCAAGCAAAGGGCTCATAGCAGGCTGTGACAGTTTCTTTGCCCAAGGCTTTTCACCTGTGCCAGGCGCACCAAACTACCCAGAGCATTGTGCTGCTGCGCCTGCTGCGCATTCTCAAGTCTCTGCGAGCCATACGCGGCTTAGCTTATTTTTTCAACGTTTTGACTTGGTTTCATGCATGCCCGTTTTGAAGCAGCAATACTTAACTTGCTGCAGGGCCCTCGTTTGGCCAAGTGATGAAATGTAAAAAATGCTCTTTGGTTCGACCTCTGCCCCTTTGACTAGAGAAACTTCTCGCTTCCCACTAGCAACAGGTTTTAGTTCTGCAGATGCTTTTGGGGTCTGACACATTCCCCATCCGCATAGCCATCCCTCCACAGTCTTGGTTCGCATTACCAGGTCCCGGTCTGAACCAGAGGGTAAGGTGATAATCGCTGTCTGTTTGGGTTCTTGGACGCGAGGCGCGAACGCGTTTGCTTTCCTATGATTGTTACGGTCCGCCCCAACCAACAAAACAAAAGCTCAAGCAACATCCCCAACAGCATGCGGTGCTCTTTTTAGTGCTCGCACCACCCTGAAGCCCTTGCAGAACCTCGTGGAACCCTCATGGAACCCTGGTGGAGCTGTGGTGGAACCCTCGTAACATCTTACCTCAGGGCCGCGCCGGACCACCCCAGAGCCTGTCTGGGCCGAGACCCCAAAGCTTTCAGCTGTTGGGGCAAAACAGTAAACAGGCATGAAATTGTTGACCCGTGCCTTGACGAGTATCAAGTCACAACAATTCCGGGCGATCATTGTCTATACATGCGATCAAACCGCCAACATGGCGACTTGATCTGACAGACAGCGCAACATGACACCAAAGTCCCAAAAGCGGGCCGTGCTGATTGATGCCACGGTGGAGGACTTCGGACTTCGGGTGGGTTATATCCACGAGACCTTCCATGTGAACATCTCTTTTCAACCCACTACACGAGCATCTCCCAGACTGGGGCAGCCTCCACTTCCTCCCTCTGGGCCTCCGCACGCAGCAAGGGCTTCCAACTTGCCCGTTAAAGCGGAGCGGTTTGTCCACCCAAGTCAACCCAAGCCAGTAGATGAGGACAGCCGAGTCCAGTCTGTCCGACCATTGACGTGACAAATAGGAACAGTTGAACAGGTATAAACTCATGAAGCGAAACATGTACAACTTTGCGTTTCCCTCTTCCCATGCCCACCTCCACACGCCACACTTCGTGGCAGGGTTGAAGCGGCCTCTGGTCAGGATTCGGATTTATAATGCCCCTTTTAGAGTCGTTCAATCGTTTTCATCCGTCGGTTCTTCCCTTGCTCGCTGCCACACACAGAACGGTTTGTTTGTGTTTCGGTGAGTTCATAATATACAAACGTACAAATGTATACATATATCTATATACATATGTACAATATATATATATACATATATATATATGCCTATTCATATATCCATAGTTCTCCAGGGCATCAGCACAGCGTGCTTTCCGGGTCGTGAGCCGGTGACCCGATCCGCAGGCATGGTGCGGTCCTTACGCATCTTCCGGGGCCTCAGGGTGCTGGTGAAGGCCTGCCAGTGCTTCCTGCCTTCCCTCTGCTGGGCCATGGCAGCTCGGAGCTTCAAGCGGATGGCTGGCGCAAGGGTTCCACTAAACGCAAGGGTTCCGCTTGCACGAGAGAAGAACAAGTTCCTTCACGCCAACGAGGAAAAAGCCGAATCTGAGCGCCTAAAGCGAAGTCATGGGCTCCGCGAGATGAAGGAGGACAACTGCAGTAGCTGAAGAAAGAATTATGGAATGGAAAGACCTCACATACTTGGTTGCAACTCCAGGCGGGAGAGGCCAAATCTTGTTTAAGTTGTTTTTTCCAAGAATGGTGGGGTGGGGAGAGGGACTACCTCTGATTGCTCACAAAAAGAAAGTTGCAGAATTTCAATCGCGCAATTTGAGGCCAGGCAAAAGGAGTGAGGGGAAGCCGTTTTAATGTTTACCACGGTTTCGGAAGAGCAATTCCAAGGCGGTTGGTAGGACCCCATGCTGCCTTGAGGCATCTTGCATCTTGGGGAAGCTGTTGGAGAAGTCGTTTTTTTCCCGGAACTCATTTTGGGTGCTTCGAGCTGGCTCATGTTCTGTAGACTATCCCCTGACACCCAACCATTTCCATGCGCCGTCCGAGGTTTTGCTTGGGCTCATGATGGCAATGGGCGCTTTGCTGATGGGCAACCTCCTGCATGGCTACTCAACTTCGGCATGTGGCCAAGCCCGGCGTGGTTCCCTTTACACGCGGCTCCTTTTTACTTCCTGAGTTCATGAACTTTAAACTTTTTGGGACGACCATCTTAGTGGCAAATATAAAGTTTGGACTTTTTTTTGGTTCATCCACTCAGCAAGTGAGCCTTTTAAATCGAAGCAAACAAAAGGTGACCGTTTCATGCCATGGCCACTGGGTTGTCATGGGTTGCAAGATGTGTCCAGTGTTTGCTTGGGTAACTTCATGCTTTTCCGTGACAGGGTGCTGTATGGGCAGTTTGTTTAGCCATCAAGAAGGATAGGGTCGACAGAAAACTATGCTACGCGAGGGCCTTGTAAGAGCAACATTTCTGACCGAGGTTCCTTTGCTTTCATGTTCCCATTGGCCACAAAACAGCTTGCATGCGTCCAACGGCACCTGCTTTCCACAAGCATGCGCCCCGTTGCTTCTCCAGGCTATATCGCGGATGATGCTGTGGACATCGATGACCGGCAATGGGTGTGGTATCATTATGGCACCGCCTATCGCGCAGGCTACACGCTCTTCGAAGTGACCATGGCCGGGAATTGGCCCACAAACGCTCGACCTGCCGCCCGGCAAAAACCATGGACCTGATTCTGTCTTTGGTGTTGGATCGGAGGTGTAATGGTTTCCCATGTGCCCTGAAGAACCACTCAAGCTCCTACCGTGGGTTAGCAGCCCTGAGCTTTTTGCTTGCAACCGAGCACTCCCTTGAACAGCTCGTGGAGTCCTCACCGTTGCCCAAAGCGAATCGGCCTATTGCCCTTTTGGTTTGCCTGTGTTGCCTAGCGTTAGGCATGGTGCCCAAAGGCTTAATGAAGCGTGTATTTTCAGGCACTTTGGACAAGTTTTTGCTGAAAGTAATGGGCTGAAGCCTTCGCCGCGCTGCCAGTGCTTTCACTCGGGGTGAGCGACTTGGTAGCCGTTTCAACCTCATCATTTTGTTGAACGCCCACAACGGTTGCGCGAGAGTTGCTACGACACCATAGGTGTGTTTAGATTGGTGTGCTCTCCCAATGAGACCTGAAAAGATCAAACTCAGCCACACCAAATTGGCAGCCTGCCCGGCACCCCCAAAGTCGACAAGCGTTCCTTGCTGACACAAACTGACAAGTAATATGTATGTAAGTATATGCTAGCAGGGGGAAACCGAACACCAGAACTGGGATCGTGTCCACGCCACGGACCTATTTCTTCTCCCCGCCACGGACCAACACCAAGTGCTTGTTTGAGAAACATCCTAGTAGCAGATTGCTTTCAACAAATGATGCCATTGAGACGGTGCGATCTTGGAGCTGAGCTGTCAAAACGTGGGGCGCCAGGCTTATCGAAGACGCTTTTCGCTCTGAGGACTTGTTCTTGAGATTGCTTGCTTGACGTGGCTCTGCCAATGCAACCTCATTCTCGGTTCCAAAATCAGGGTTCGGTTTTTTACCCGCACGGAAGTAAATGGGAAGTGTTTCTTGAATGGTTCTTGTTGTGGATGAATTAAATCCCTACCAAAAAGTACAGCCGCTTTCCTTGCATTTGGGTAGTGTTGCTCTAAGTTCCGAATTTGGAGACTCTCCCACTTCGGGTGATATGCTGATTCTCCGGGCTGCAAAGGTCATCAGCAAGGTGAGCGAGGGCTTCATTGTCTTCTTCGTTCTCTATGTCACCATCGTGGTCTTCGCGGTGATCCGAGTAATTGGCGCTGTGTTTTTGAAAGATACCTTAGACGCAGCCCAGAACGATGCGGAGCAGCTGGTGATGGACAAGATCGCATTGAAAGAGAAGTACGTCGAGAAGTTGGCCTTTTGGCAGGGAAGATAGGTGCGGAAGATGGTCCTGCGCTTATTTTAGCGGAATCCTGTTGATGAACCGTTTTTTTTTTTTCCGAAAGGGCACGTTTGCTAGCCGCCGCTCCGATTGGCAGGCGTGAAGGGCCGTAGCGCAAGAAAGGGCTCTGGACTATGGGTACCTTTTGAGATCCCAGGCAGCTTGCATTCTCTGCTCAAACCGATTCCCCATGTCAAATTGATTTGCGGCTGTTATTGATTTTGAGAATGCAGGATTGTGAACTCCCTGGTGGATGAACAAAGGGGAGCCAGGGTGGTTTTAGAGTGGAGCTACACAGTTCCAACAAGCTCCTAAGAGACAAGCAGCATCTGGATCCGTGTTGCCCGTGTCGAACGCAGCCAGCGCTCCTCTTCCCCATTTGAGTTCACGCCCATAGAATACAAACATGAGCCTGTGACCACAAATCAAAGCCTGCTTGTGAATGATGAATATAGTGGTCTCAGTATATGCCATTCAACCAAACGCCATGCGAAGAAACGAAGCACATCAACCGCGACATGACTAGCTGCCTTTTCTGCAGTTGCCCTTTCAGTGGGAAGCCAATATGCGTAAACCCCTGATTCAAGATGTTAACCCCCTCCCATTTCTGAGGTTTCCTTCTCCAATAGGGTCTCTCATACCTCCGACAAAAAACGGTTTCGGAATAGAAATCCAGCGACCCCATGGACCCCATGGCTAGGTGGCCCCAGGGGGGCAACCCATAGCTCAGGAGAAGATTTTCAAAGCCATCGACCAGGATGGAACGGGCCTCGTCTCCGAAGCAAGGCGGGGGCGAATAGTCGTGAAGCCAAATGTTGGTGTCGGTTTTTCCCCGAAAAGAAAAAACAGGTTCCGAAAGGACCCATAAGAGTGTTTTATAGCGTTTTGCTTGTTGTTGCGGGCTTGTTGAGGAAAATGTCCAGCCGCAAAGCAGCGACGCAAATTCGATGCCTCATCACTTTAAGGTCACGACCTCCCATTTGTTTGATGCGACGTTCCCTTTACATTGTATACATTGGACGTGTTAGGCCTTTGTGCGTATCCTTTCGTAATCCTTCCCCTTGAAGTCAAGCGGAAGTGGTTCCCTTTTCCCTTTTCCCCTCAGGCCGGCGAGTTGTGGCGGGAAGTTTCCCCTATGTTTAGAGGCATTGGAAGGCGGAGCCAGTGGAGTCCCAAAGAGTCGTTTTTGTTTTGCTTGTATCTCTCAAACAGTATATACGGCCTTGGCAACCGCGCACAGGCTCGCAGACCTGTTGAACAACCCCAAGCTGGCAGCATATTTCCAGACCTTGGACGTGGATGTGCATGAAGGCAAGCGGCTTTCGAACAGCCAGGGCGGCAAAACAAACTCAGTGTTCCAGCCAGCTTTGCTGCGTATCTACGGCCCGGGGGATTCCGCACTGATGGGGCAACCCGCGGATGAGTCAGAGGTAACATCGTCATTCTGGAGTGAATCCTTTGATTCACAGTTCTCCGGTTCTCCGGATGCCAACGGTGAGCATTGGCCTGCCGCTGCGCCTGACAGAGAGTTTTGTTGAGGAAAATGTTTTTTTCGGGCACCCTCCAAGTGTTTTGCATTTGGAAGATTCAGCTTTGCAGGAACTGCTCTCTTCGAATTGCTGGCGTGTGGCGACGGGCAGGTCACTATGGACGAGTCTAGGACCTGCAGAATGTTTTGATAGGACCCCCCAAAAGCCTGTGATTTTCTTTCAATCCATGCTGTAGAAGGAAAGAAACCCTGCACCACCACTAAGAAACCCTGGAATCATATGATCCCCCACGGTTTCAACCATGGCTTCAAAGCGGTGCGATCGTGCACAGTAGGGAGTCCGTTTAGACTGTCCAACCTGAGAGTTGCGTTTTTGGTTGCTTAGGCATTTCGAGGGGCCATGTTTTGTTTTGCAGACTCTCCATGGGACCTGACTGGAGGTCAAAATTCGGAACTGGTCATCTTAAAAGGCAATCCATGGCAACTATTTCTGGACCACGCCTGTCTTCGAGTTCCATGTTCTTGCATCCTTTGTTCCCCTATCATTTGGTTGCGAATGAATCAGAATGTCAGTAAACAATGGTTCGCACTATGGGATGACCCAGGTTGGTTCCGCAGAGTTACTTCTGCAACCGTGGTGGCCTCTGATAAGATTGTCAGACTGAACTAGCTTATTTGCAATTCTGCCCTTTGGGTTTCTTTGGTTGTCCAGGTTAAGCAGCAACAATTCTTTTCCGGCGGGGCGCGTTGCTTAAGATAAATCAGTCTTGGATAGAATTGGGGAAGTGCAGTTCGGGCAAGACCCACATCCCCACCCTTGAATCCCTGAAAACGAGTGTGCAAAGCAAGGCATGCCCCCAACAAAGGGGCACCTCATGCATTTGTCCTGTGGGCATTTGCAGGTAGTGGAAGGTGCGCTTTTCGTGGCAATCCAAGGAATTCATCAACGGCATTCTGCGGTGCAAGGGCCCAGCGCGGGCCATTGACCAGGTGGCCTTGCAAGCAGCGCCTGGGCTTCTACCGGTAGAGCCAATCTTTTTCGGCTGGGACCACTGGAATTCGTTCAATCGTCTTCCAAAATACCCAAAGATTCACGGAGTTTGAAGGCCCAGATCCACCTTGTTGTTTTTTTCCGCCTGACCGTGTGCGATTCGCAGGTCGCCTTCCATTTGACGATGTGTGATTACTCAATCGGTCCATGAGGCCGATTGTTTGTTTTTTGGTTAAGACAACCTGGGATATCGCCTGTCTTTTGCTTACGACAGTTCGCGATGGTCCCTTGCACATTCAGTGTGTCGCTTCCCCATGTCCATACAGTTGCCACATCTTCTATTCCCATGTATCAGATTTCGCTACTGGCTTGCTGCTTTCCCCAAGATGGTGCATCATGTTCATATAGAATCAGTTTGGTGAACACTATGTGTGTGTTGATCCATTGTCTGCCATTTGGTTTAGGTGGATTGTTGCCTGTGAAATGTCTTCCCTGCCATTAGGATGTATCCCATGGTTGAGACAAGTCGTCATTTGCATATCGCATCTGTTCGAGCAAACAACTCTGGGTGTGTGTGTGTGTGCCCGCTTATCATGTGCTGTTTTCGCTCGACATCCTGGTTGAAGGCGTTGTCTCAGTCTCTCATTCTCGGGCGCTTGGTTCGAAACTCTTAGGCGGTTGGTTTCCTGCTTGCCAGTTTCCAGTGCGCCATCCGAAAAGCGAGTTTCCCACCTGACAGGCCCTTTTTCGTTTCACGTTTCCCGTGCCAGTCAATTAACGAACCCGACTTGGCCTGAAACGAAGCAATGGGTTTGCCTCCAAAGAAAGGAAGCGCATGCAACTTACTCGAAGGGACCCCGAATTAACCCGTCAACTATGGGTCCTTGAAACCTCGTTTTGGTGGTGTGGTCTTGACGGGCTGCCCGAAAAAGCCTGGGCAGCCCCAGTTTTTCTCTCCGGAAGCTCTTGAGGACATCCGGATGCTGGACGCAAAGATCTCGACTCTTGTGCAGCAGCTGGACCAGATGGACCACACCGAGCACCGCAGGAACGGGAGGCGCGTTCCGCCTCGGGTTTGACATGACCGGATGGCCATCGGAGTGTGAGGACATTGCCATCCATCACCTACGTACATTTCCTTTGTGGGCACATGTAAACAAGCCGGCAAGCCTGGATGAAGGAGATGAAAGTGTTGGAACTTCGGGACGCGCCCGGATTTCCCACAAATTTGTTTGCTGGCGCCCCTAGAATCTAAACCGCCCCAAGGCAATTGTGGCGAGCTCACAGTGGCAAAAAGGGCAGACGCGTCATATGCGTTCCTTGCCAACATGGCGGTTTTTAGGCGCAAAGCAGGTTTTGTTCCTGCTTTTTGTTCAATATGCATCCTGCCCACTAAGATCATCTAGGATAATCTAGGTCGTGTCCCTTTCGGAAGGGACCTAGGCACCGCAACTGGGCAATCAAGACTTGGAGGCTGGGAGTTGCGTGCCACGTGCACAAGTCGCAACAGTTGGCAATCAGCATGAAGTCCTTCCCGCTTGATCCTGCCATTGCGAGTGGCCATTTTCTTTACAGAGCCCCACATGAAAAATAACATTCCAGTCAGTTTGGAGGACCTTTGGCTTTTCCTTGGTCTTATACCAAGAAAGTTTCATACATAGAGACCCAAACCGCATCTCGGAATGTTCCGCAACCCAACACCCATCTTTTCCACGGTCCCGGGCTGTAGCCAAGTATACACTTTCCTAAAGCATCAGGCACTTGTCCAAAGAGAATGGTCAAGTGTCGCTTTGTGCCTTTACCTTAAGTTTCAGAAAATTTGACATGCGATTCGAACAGAGGGCCCCTGAGCATCTCCGAGCAGCTCTGAAAGAAGATTCCGTCAGGCCAAGCACAGCAACCATGGTGCGGAACGGTGGCTGTTTGCTTTCCGCGTTCAAGCGCGCTCGCTTGGGTACCTCTTGCGAGGCCGCCATTGCGTTCCGGGTTTCTGCCCCAACATTGGGAACACGTTTGAATTGTGTCTGTGGCACCCCTACTTTTGCAAGCACCCAGAATCGCTTTTTTTCTCAAGCATCTTGAAGCCAGGAATCCCAGTAGGGTTGCCCCCATTCTCATTCTGATTGCCTTTTCTCGTTCAGAAAAACGGCCTCAAGCAAGTCATTGAGCAAATGAGTCCTCTCGTGGCAACAGCCACCTGCGAGGGCTGCTCCTTTAGTGGTCAGGACACGTTGCCAACCTGAGAGGTCCAAGTAAATATGATGTTCTTCACCGCGCTATGTACCCGTATCATGTTGCACGTTTCGTTTTGGTTTCGGGGGTGCGCTAAATAACGGCCATGCTTCGCGGTACCGGGCCCGAGTCACCGAGGCACATGACCACGAAGCACCTCCGGGTCTTCCGCACCTTGCGCTCGCTTAAGACGCCCAAAACGCGCGCCGTTTTCCTTTTTGGGGGAGGGGGGTACCTGAGGGGTTTCCCTGAAAAATCGGGGGTGGATGCCGTTTTTGGGATGGGGTTTACCTTACAAATCAAACAAGGGTGCCCTTTTTCTGGGACAAGCGTTGCACCGGAAGCTCTGGCATTCGTTTTGGGTGTTTGTCGTTTGGCTTGGTGCCTTGTCCATGCTGGGGTTGTGGAAATGCTCGGGGGCTCCGCAAGCTCAGCGCCTGCAAATACGTTGGCGTAAGAGAGAATCCGTTTGCTGTAATGTGGCTGCAAAAAAAAATGTGTTGTGTTTCTTTGTGCTTCCGCAATGCTTGGTTCAGGGCCGCCTGATTCGACGGGTTTAACCTTTCGGTTCCCAGTCAACAATGACGTTTCTGAGGATTCTTGCAGGAAGGGAGGCTGGAATGATGTTTGGCGGTAATATCAGGCGACTTTCTTTGTTTGCATCGGGTTGTGTCCCCTTGATGATCAAATGAAGCAATAGCAAGCCATCAAGTTAGGAGGCTCACCATTGGAAATACCCATGTCAGCTCACACAAAAAGGTTGACCGACGCCCCTGTCTTTGTCTGTTTATCTGTCTTCAGTTGTTAATTGTTCTTGTTTTCTTTCTTTGCTTCTCTCTGTTTGTCTATCTGTCTGTCTGTCTGTCTGTCTGTCTGTCTGTCTGTCTGTCTGTCTGTCTGTCTGTCTGTCTATCTGTTTGTTGTCTTTCTGTCGCGTTTCTTTAGTTTTTAGTTTTTCTTCGTTGCATGATGCATGCTTCTTGCTTTATTTCTTTCTCTCTGTCTTTCTTTACTTCCAGCGTGATGTCAGTGTTTTTGTTCTGATCATTGATTTCTTCCTCTCTCCTCCTTCGCTGGCTTTGTCCATGCAAAGTCGGTAGCGCACACACACAATGAAGGCAGGGCCGTTAGGAGCCCCTTAAGATCAAGGTGGAGCCACCATGAAGGCTATGTGAGAAGACCGAAGGTTCTATCGACATGTCGGCGGAGCTGCAGCGTGTGAGAGCTACATGATGTTTCACTTGCGAAGAATGGTGAAGATCCAAGTAGGATTGCCATGCGAGACGGATCCATCGGGACACTGTGGAACAAGATGTCAGCATCTTTCACTCGCATGGACTGCTTGAGGAATGTGAACGAAAGGCCTCTGGCTGAGGTGTTGTTGAGACAAATTTCCCGCGTGCCAGTGGTGCACGGGAACTTTTTTTACCCCTTTTTGGGGCCTGAGCTGCACGGCCTTTCCTAAAGGGATGGGTTGTGGGAGCTGCGAAGAGAGCGGTTTGGATCCGCCAGGTGCGTGAAGAAAATCGTTCTTCACTCCCGACTGAGTTGCTGAGCCCTGGATCTGTCCTCTAATCTTTGGGTGGTGGTTGGTTGTTCTATGTTCTCGAGCGCTCTTGAGAGATCCGGGCATTCACAGGCCCAACAGCTCAACACGTAATTTTCCTCCGAAGAATTCGCATCGCTGGTGGGAAGCCGCGGGTTTTGGCTGAAGGTGAGTCACCAAGATTGCCCCTCGAAAAGTTTCCTTCCGTCAACACTTCTCAGAACAGTTTCCCTTTAGTTGTGAAATACTCCATGTGCTGGGCAAGGTCCTTGGATTAGGACCGTCCCTCGGATGAATCGGAAGTGGACACAACAGCAAAACAGATGCATTGCGCGTGCAGCCACTCAAAAAGTCAGCCTGCCAATCTGCGCCGTACTCTGAACCACATGCAGATGCAAAATCACCCGTAGTGCTGGACAACCTCCCAGGGAATAAGTGTCTAAGTGCGTGGAGCCTGAATTTCTGCCGTGGGGGATGCCAATATTCAGCGCAGGGGGTTATGATCGCAGCGAGAAGGTTTGCTTCAGACTTTCCCAATGATTGTTTGTGGGCTAAACATGAACCCAGAACAGACCACATCATTTGGAGTGTAAAGTTGGCAACTTTAGCCTCGGGACCCGCGACACGTGCTCAGTTGCTAAAGGCAGCACTGGCGCTCAATTGTGGGCAAAAAGGCTGAGCGTTTGTTGGGGAATGCATTGACATGTCCTTTAAGTTTCTGCTCTACCTCTCAGTGGTTGTTTCTGTTTGACAGGACGGGCAGACTACCCAACAGGGAATCAAGGAAGTTCAGCTTTCATTTTGCAGGGGTGAGGAGGAGACGCACATTTTCCTATGCGCAGTGTCTTGATTTGATTATGAGTTCTTTTGGCCTTCAAGGTGACCCAAGACGTGGCAAGGGTATGCTCGCCGGGCGAGCAAGGGGGCCTTTCAGCTTCCTACGGACTGGGCCGATGCCCGGGATGGGCCCAGCTTCGGCATCCAAAATCCAAATCCTTGGAGGTTCAACCATGGTTGCATGTGATTGTTTCGGGGTGGCTAGACACCAAGCACCAACTCAAACTGCAAATGACGTTCTATGCGAACTATAGCAAGGCATCAGATGAATCAGATTAAAAAAGGCTGCAGTAATTACATGCTGCAAAAGAAGAGGCTCGAAACTGCTTTGCCTGGAGATGTGGGGCAGTGTAGGTTGTTCAAAGGATTTGCTTGGCGTAAAGCTTAAGGATGGTGTGAGTCCTGGGCCGTATGACTTCAACAACTTTGGTTGAATGCTTCTAGGGGGAAAAGGGGAATGCAACCACCTGGATGAGGCGCCCAACTTGTACGAAAACACCCGTTGCGGGTCGCGATGTCAAGGGTGTGTTGCTTTCGTTTGCCTGCGGTTCCGCCCAGATGGGATGAGGGCCGCAAGGGGCAGATGTGAGCTAACCGAACAAAGGAACGTTGGCAGCGTGCGGCTCAGAGGCCGTGCCCAAGGTGTGAGCGATAGCGGAATCCGCAGTAATTGCACCCATGAGCGTGCCTCTCTTTGCAGCCATTGACATTCCCATGAGCAGAGCAGCTCGGAGGGAGTGATTAGGAACCCACCCAAACAGTTGGGGTGGGGGTCAAGAAGGAAAGACTGAAGAACAAATTGAGGGCCAGAGTTGCACCTACTCAAGAAGTCTCTCAACATGTACTGCTGAGTACTGGCTTAGAATTGTTTGAGCGCTCCTTTGTACTGTTCAGAATTGGTTTAGTACTTGTTTAGTATTCCTCGGTACTGGCCCATATATTTATTTTCTCTATTTCCTCCCTAAAACATTCATTGCCAACTTTCAGGGGCTTCCTCTGTGCTCCTTCCTTGAAAATGGGTCTGGGTGGCGTTTTTGTGCGGAGAGGAAATCCTGACAGGGTGCTTACAGCAACTAAAAGCCAAGGTTTGAGAGGCAAAGGCCCGAATTGGCTTTACGTGAGGTGAGGTCCGTCATGTGTCGTGTGTAACAGGGCCCTTCCCGCACTTGGAGTCCCACGTGCCTGATGGTCACTTCCTTGGCGCACACCTTGTGACAGCCTGTCCCGTGTTTGAAGTTTAGGTAAAGAGCTTTGCTTGTTGGTCCAGGCAGTACATGAGCCACATTTGAATGAAGCCTTGGCTTGGCAACCCAGGGGCCAAAACGAAAGCTGAAGCATGTCCCAATGTTGACATAGGCTTTTTCTTTTCGCATTTTTCTGGTGTCCAAACAGTCAGATGCCCTTTTAGAGAGAGAGAGAGAGAGAGACGGTTGGTAGTGTTGTTTGATGCCAAGGTCCCCGAGGACAGACTCCGGCAGCTCTTTGAAGATGAAGAAGATCGCATGCTCCAGCGGCTCAGACGTTTTGTTGTGTTTTCCGCGCTCCCCAAGGACGGCCAGAAAGTTCCTTGCTTTGTTCCTTTTTGGGGACCACATGACAGTCCCCACGACAAGCAGCATAAAGTTTCACTTATTCCTCGTAATCAGAGACCAGCCGGAGACATTACTACAAATTGTTGTTGGTGGGTGAAAAATGTTGTCCGCCAAAAGGTGCCCTGTCAAGCTCGATGCCCAAACAGGGGATGGTTTTTCGGTTGCCCAGATGGGCCGGGCGGAAAAATGTTAAGCGAAGCGTGACTACACAACTATGCACACAGGACCTGCCAAGCTTCGTGCGATCTCCTGCCATCTTGTCAATGTTAAACTGTTGCCTTTTCGGTGCTCACGCTCCGCAGCCAGAACTTTCAGAGTTTTTACCAGCTACTATGCACTACTCAAGAAGGAGAGGGGGGAATATGTCTAGCCGATATTCGGGCAAGCCGAGAGCCTTCAAGAACAACCGAGCTGCAGCCCAATCAGCCCGTCCCCTGTCCCAGACCTCAGGAAGAGTGCGAGCTCTTGGTCAGACGCTCCAAAAGAAAGAGAAGCTACAAATCAAAATATCCAGCCTAGTCATCGTTTCTGCGGTTGACTGCCACCCCTCGGGTTGGTGTCAAATCGTGTGTAAATCGGATTTTAGTAGATCGTATGTAAATCCTTAGCTCTTGTGTTTTATGCACCACCCAGTTTTTGGTCGTCACGCGGCCTTGTTTAGTTTACTCAGCCCGCCTTTACTCTTCGGTCAGGTTGGCAGAGGAGCAGCGGTGTGCGTGGGTGAGCCTCATTGCAGACACCCGTGCTCGGCGCCTCGGCGGAATGAGCGACGGCCCGGTAGAAACGAGCCCCGGACGTGCCTGTGTAGGGGAAGGCCCACTCAACGAATCACATGTGGCACAGTCAAGCGACATGCTTATTCTTTGATTGGGATCACACAGCCAGCAAAGTCTTGAAATACGCGGAAGCCTTGAAATACATTAATGTGTGCTTCGGTAGTGGTTTGGGAGGGGCAGTCGGCAGATCCAAGCTATGCAGGCCCGGTGTGGCTTCACTGACTTCATTGGCACTTTCCACGGCTCGGTGGCCCCCCCCCCTTGTGCTTTACGCTCATGCGGTGACCTTTCCTTGGTTTTTGTGTTGGATGTGTTTTTGTTTTAAGTGTGGCGCCCCTTTTTCGACGGTGATGTTATGCTGGCTTACTCCCCGCGCAACAAAGGCTGACGACTCTCAAATTGTGAGACCTTCCTCCCCTCGTGCATCTAAGACATCCCTCGGCCCTGCTGAACGATTTTGGCAAGACGAGCCAGCTTGGCTTCCACAGTTAGTATGCCCTTCAAGGGGTTCTGCCATATGGCCTTTGTTGCGACGGATGTCGCGCAAGTCTTGTGGCTTGCTGGCGCAGTATTTGGTTGGGCCAGTTGGCCCCCATTTGGATACTTCAAATGGAAACAACCAGGGAAAGCAAGCACCTGTAGTCCCCCACTGTATTGGAAACCCGTGTTAACCACGTCAACTTTGGCTAGGGATGCTTCAAAGCTACCGCTTTTGTTTCCTCGTCCCTCCTAAAGATACTGTCGCTAATTTTCCAGACAGCGGCCTGAACAGAATTGACTCACGGAGCGCCTTGAGGTCAATGTAGGGGTGTTTTTAAACTAACTTTGCGGGATGCTTCCCTTCAATCACCATGTAACTTTGAGGACGTCTATAGATGGCTCCCCCAGCTCCGCAGTACAGCTCGAGGACAATTGCGAAAGGGGTACCATGGGGTATATATGGGATACACCTTAGTCATTGCCCTAGACGGTAACCTTGATCGCGTGTTGCAAGAAGTTTGCGCAGGGCCAGCTGCTCATTCTTGGTCTTGGCATCAATTTCCGAAAGGTGTTGTTTTACCCGCGCACGCGTCAATTGGTTGTTTCTACGTTTGGCACCGGCTCCGGCTGGCAATCCCCGTGCGGGAACCAGGCTGGCGGCCGTCGCGCGCGGTTCCCTATCCCGCACGTCGGCCACCCAGCAGCCCGCCGTGCCAGCACCTTGCCTGCACCTTGCCTTGCCCGGCCCACCTTTAACTGTTCAACCCCCTTCGTTTGATGTTTTCTCCAAATCCAAGCTTCAAGCCTTTGGGGGAATCCTGGGCACACTACTTTGAGGGTGTCCAACAAGTTACAAACCGCATTCTTGGACGATCGCGTTGTCCAGGAATACCAGAGATCATGCCATGAATTCCGGTATCACGTGTGTCAGCTTGCGCTGAACTGGAGAGATGAAAACGCTTCTGATAGAGATTTGGTCTTGGTGCCTTTGCCAACTCACCAGAAAGGTGTCCCAGCAACCCGGTCTTCCCGCAGGGCTCGTTAGAATTGGCATGTTGGGCGGAAGGCGTTGGGTTCCTTACGTGGGTTGAAACGCCTCCTGTGTGGATCATCCTGGACCGGAACGTGCGTGGGGTCAGCATCACTTGCCAAGCTCAAAGCTGAATTAGGCGGGACAGCACCGCCAATTCCAAGGATATGCAAGGCGCCACCCAAAACCCGACTGAAATCCCATAAAGAAGGATTGCTGCCAACTGCCCCTGCAAATTTCAAGAACAACTAGAAAACCACCAAGTGGCTCCAGATTCCAGGTTTGGATCTTGTTGCCTCTCGTGTCGAGGAGACGGCGGATCCATTTCCTGCCATTCCGGAGATGGCCGTGCGCCGAATGGAGTGGTATGATCTCCAGAGCGCAGGCAGCAAACCGTGGCAGCGGATGCCCTGGCTCCATCCAGGGCACTCTTGATCCCGTCTCCTTCTGGGCTTGGTGTTTTTAGGATAGCCGACCTTGATTTGTTTCCCCCAGGCAAAGGCAAATCATGCGTGCCCATACGCTCGTGCCCAAAGAAGGCCGCAGAAATCTATCCCACGTAGAGGGCGTGCCAGGAGATGCCCCGCAAAACAAAGCATGCTCTCCGGCCAGTGCTGAAGAGCATGGCTTTAGCTTGGTGCTCTGCGGGCCGGTCACACTGGTGGAAAACTTCTTGGTTAGAGAGGCTTGCTACCGCGCCACAAGAGGCACTTTCCGACTTTGCTTCCTTTGTAAAATGCCTCAAAAGTCGCAAAGCATGAGGCTCCTGGCCGGATTCATGGTAGTCACTTGCTGGTAGAAGGTAGTTTTATGTCTCATTCAGAATGCCATGATTAGTCGGGCGCATGGCAGGTGTCCAGCTGCAACACTTTTCAAAATTTCCCACTGCATTCCGCCCCGCTCCGCTCCACCCCACCCCACCCTACTCAACTCACTCAACACTTTCAACATGCTTTCGATTTCCTCCCTACACAACGGGGCCAGGGTCTAGCGCAGGACATTCTCTCCAGAATTCAACTTCGCCGGAGTCTGGGCTTTCGTCACTTGAGATGCCAAATGACTTGCCTACAATTCGGCGGCCTGGCAGGGCGGGGGGGGGGCTGCTCTTTAGCCGATTGGCTTTCTGTTGCGGGGGTTGGCGGGGTCAAGGACTGACGATGAAGCGTGTGTCCGTTTTGTTCTGCAAGCAATGTTTGGTTTGCACAAGGCGTCATAGGAGTTGTCCATCATGCCTTCATCGGCTGGATGGCTCACGGCTCACGCTCTCTACAAAGCACGTTGCTGGATTCGGCTTGCATTGAATAGGGCCTTGGGTTCAGCGGCGGATGGCTCATGAGTTCTGCTCCACTTGGGCGCGGCTGAGCCTTACGCTTGGCAAGACATGGTATCAATGGGGGTTGGGGTCGCAGCAGGTGATGGACAACATCCTGCACCATTGAAGATGGATGAGCCCTATAAATGCTTGGATTCGCCACCAACTGGTGCAAAACAGGTTTTGGCCATCACACAGCCAGTGAGGTCAGCGAACAACGTTATCCAGCCGAGTCTGGACGAGTCACCCCCGGCTTCCCCAACTGACAAGAATCTGCACTCTAGCGACTCGACAGCAGCTGATCTTGAGGTCATGCTGAGGGTGTCGAAAAAGTAAGTCTACAGCCTCTGGAATTAAACAGCAAGTTCCTGAGAGCGTCCCTCCAACATGGAAGCCCTAGGACTTGTTTTTTCTCGGGAAATGCCTGTCATACCTTTTGCTGGGGACTTGCGACTCAACATAGAAGTTACCTAGGGTGCACCTCGTCGCGACAATCCCGGATTTTTTTCCCAGGAATCCTAGATTCTTGAGGGAACCTGTTTTGAGCCTGCGCTTCCATGTAGAAACATAATCGTGAGTGAAAACGCAAGTTCTGGCCCACGAACGTCTCCTAAGATAGCAGCTGAAACTAGGCCCTGCACTTCCATGCACAGGAGAACATGTGAGCAGAAACGTGCGTGTGACCCACACACTTGGCTCTACACACTTGGCTCTACACACTTGGCTCTACGCACTTGGCTCTGGCTATGCACCTGGCTCTATGCACCTGGCTCTGTGCACCTGGTTCTATGAACTTGGCTGCGCGCCTGGCTATGCACTTGGCTCTTTGCATTTGGCTCTGCGCGACTCGGCTGTGTGCAACTTGGCTCTGTGCAACTTGGCTCTCTGCAACTTGGCTCTGTGCAACTCACTCTGTGTAGTCACTCTGCATCACTTAGTCCAAGGGCCCCGCACGGAAGAACCCTTCGCAATGCTTTTGGGAATGCAAGCTTCGGAGCTTCCTGTTTATTTCAAGGAAGTATGCAAGCGTGCCAAACATCTACGCTTAGCCAGAAGCCAACTTCCCCAAGCTTACCGTCGGGGTTCTACGTTCGCTTGGGGACCGGGCATTCATTTCCAGTCCAGCAGGAGGTTTACCTTGCATTGGCAATGGGGCCGCCCTTGAAATGGATCTTCAAGCGTCGAGTGTCCCTCTTGGTCCAATTTAGTAGGGGTTCGATTCTCCGGGTTTCCATATTCAGCCAAGACTGCCCTAATCCGGCCCATGCTTAGCCAGTTTGTTTTCCATGTTTGCCTAATTTGGCCCATGGTAAGCGCTGTGTCATGTTGGCCATGCTTGGCCCACTGTTTCCCAGTTGGGCGCATATTTGCTAAGTGTTTCTGGGTTTGGCCGCAGCGTTGCTTCCTTAACATGTTCGCACGTGGGCTTCCTCTTTTGCACCATACTCAGCCCACAGCTTTCGTTCGTTGGCCCAAGTCGCAGTGATGTGGATCGTTTCAGGGACCCTCAAGCTGCTTGCTTTGCCGGTTTGATTGCAAGCCCGCTGGGGGTTTAGCTGAAGTCTTGACACAAGCCCAGGAAGCATTGCAGGCAACTTTCCGTTTGGGCATTGAAAGCTAGCTTGCATTGATGAACATGAGCGCAGCAAAAGCACCACCAGCTTTCATGCACTCCTGCAAGTAGTCCAGAGCAATTCATGTGAACCCGGCCAGACCTGATTGTTGCCTGGAAGCCTCGCCGCAAGGTGGACCGCTGAAGGTGGAATCGTTCCCTTGTTTGGCGGAGTTTACTCAAATGGTCTGGCTGGCTTTGGTTCCCATGAAGCGTTTTCGCAGGCAGAACTCGGCTGTTTTCAAGCCTACACACTCGTCGTGAGAGGCCATGAGTTTTCTCTGCGGAAGCCCCCTCGAAACCGTCCACGTTGAGGTTCCCCTATTTTAAGACAACCCCAGTTCCCTTGCCATCTTTGGGTTCCACGCAACCAAAACATGAAATCCCCCCTCGCTAGGCAAATCTGATAACGCCTTGTCGACCTTTCTGAATGACCTCCCCGACAGCTCAAGACGCCGCTTGCCGTGACATGGATGACGAAACTTTGGCCATCGCTTTGATCGTCAAGCCAGATTTTCGCAATTGCAGAGCAGAAATCTCAAAGCACTGGATCTCAAGTTACGCACTTGACTTCCCATACCATTGCCAAGGCTCAGCCAGCGTGCGGGGCTTGAAATCTTGAGTAAGGCCAATCAAGGCTAATGAAGCCAAATGAAGTCCTAACGCTCCATGTCGGGTGGGAGATCAGGATAAACTGTCCCGAAGTCAGGCACTGACAGTAGCAAATTCGCCAGAGAAGGCAACTGCACCTTTCATGGCGTCCACAACTTGGGAATTTCAATATGGAGAAATCATGCATTGCACATCCCTCAGGCGAGGTTGGCTTGTGCGTTGCTGAGCCTTAGGACTCCGATTGCCCCTGGTGCTTTTCAACGCCTAGTTGCCAGTTGCATGTGAATGTCCTTTGTTTTTTAGGGAGACGTAAGGACGCCTGAAATTAGCCGGAGTTTCTAGTTCCAACTAGGTTTTCCTTCGGCTGACTGTGACATTCTCCTGGACACTGTCACCGCATGTGTCCTTCTCGCATGAATCTACTCTATACGTCAAGCGCAAGGCTCACGGTGCCAGATGGCCATGGTAGCGTGTCGTAGGATTTCTCTTGCGATTGGCCAAGTCTATCAAATGCTGGCCTTGCGCCCGATTACACGTCAGCAGCCTGTTCAGGGAGCTGGTCTATCCAGTATGTGATTGTAAAGGGGCATGGCAAATGTAAATGCAAGCCCGTAAAAAAGTAATTAAAAAAGCACGTATAAGCTTGCATATGCGTTTAGAATTTCGTACCTATCACTTCTTGGGCTCTCGGGGAATGATGAAATCTCGAGGTTTGAACTGGGTGGAGCGCCTGAAGGTTTACATGGACTACATGGCAGGAGCGCTGGTCGCTTGGCAACTGCATTTGTGCCCAGTATTTACTTCTCAGTGTCTCAGATCACGCTGAATGCTCAAGGTTGGTGCCGAGGGTGGGATACCTCGAGCTAAAGGCTTGCAACTTGAAACATGTGCGACATCAAACTTGGCAGTTCCATCAAAAGAAATTGGTCTGTTTGCAGTTCCTTCTGCATCATGAGGTTTCACAGCCCAGTCTTGGGTCTTAGCCGAAGTTGCAACCAGGGGCCCCGGGTAACGCCACTGGACGAAAGCAATTTGAGTTGGACCATGGCCGCTTTCCAAACTCATGAACGGGCTTCAAACTTGTGCAGTTGCAGAAAGGATCACATGGGCACGGTGCTTTGCACATGCGAGAATCCTTTCGCGCTTGATGAAGGCCGTGTGTTCGGGGAGGGTTTAACTCAAGTCTATGAGCTGCACACATGAGTGTAGCACGGTGTCTTACACATATTCAAACATCCAGGCGAGTTGTCAACACCATGGAACCCTCAATTAGATTTCTGCAAGCACGGGCCAAGATGAAACCAGCTAGTTTTTTGAGTTGTGTGTCTTGTTCTTGGCCAAAACCGCCGAATTAGCCTGAGGTTCTCATGAACTCGGTCGCGATGCTCTTGGAGTTCGAGTTGGAAGGACCGTTGGGCCTCGGCCCCCAGTTTGAAACGTGGCCAACTTGGGCAACCCCTTTGCAGACCTACCATGTACAGTTGAGTGAGCACGTTACCCCTCATGGTCATACCAAGTCAGTCTCAAGGTGAAGAGTCTTGGTCACATCTCTCAAGAGGAGCTCGTTGTTTTTTTGTGACAGGCAGCCTCCCCCCCCCCCCCCCCGAAACCCCCGAAACGCAAAAACAAAGCAAATTTATAGAAGCCACGAACCTGAACGCGCGTCCCTTGCCAAGAGAGGGGTACATTCGCATGGGGAACATTTCAAAGTAAGCTCGGTAAATACTTTTTTAGTCTAGTGAACGTGAAGGTGATGGTTGAAATCAACCTATCTCAGGAGCACCTGTCAAAACCTCCCTTGACTACTTTGCATTGTGGTGGACATGACATGAACCATTCCCTCCAGAATCCTGACAAGCGATAGGGCCCACAGCAAAAGCGATAACTTTCCAGCCAGCTCCTTCGAGCTGGAGCTGGGGAACTGTACTTCGCGTAGCGCTCTTGTACTGGAAAGTTGGTATATTCGAGCTGGAGCCGCAAAGTGTACTTTGCGCACTGCGCTCGTGTTGAAAAGTTGCGATTTTCGAACTAAAGCTGGGGAAGTGCACTTTGTGCATTTCTTGCAAGCGGGGGCTAAGAAACTGTTGTACCTGTGCTGAAAGGTTGCGAAGCTGGGAAAGTGTACTTCGCGTGCTGCAGAAGAGTTGCGATATGTTGCGATTTTCGCCGGAGTGGGAATGTGTGCTTCGCGCACTGCGCATGTACTGAAACACTCCCATTCATTTATTCGTTCATTCCTTCCCTCATTCATTCACTCAGCCTACTTATTGGTTTCAATTCTGCTCATGCTCATTCCATGCTCACTTAAGTTCATTAGATTTCACTCGATCCTTTATTGGCTCCCTACGCCAACCATTGATTTCATCTTCATTCAGTCTTGTTTTTCACGAATGTGTAGCGAAGAGGGTTCCTGTTCCCGCGGGTGTAGTCGAAAGCGCCCGAAAGCGTCCGCAAGCGTCTGCATGTGGAAAAAGTTGCGGTGTCATTGGGATTGTCGCAAGAAGTGACTTTTACATGAGTCTTGAAGCGCTGAATTCGTTGCGCCCGTGCGTGAATCGTAGCTTTTGCAGCGTTGCGTGTTATTTCGCTGCGCAGGCGCAGTGTTTTGGAAGGCTGCGTGTTCTCGTTGCCGTGCCATTGGGATTTGCGTTCCAGGAGTGGTCGCTTTGAGGTGTCCTGCTTGGCAGGCGCGTGAGAGTGCTTGCGCCGGCGTCTTTTCGTTGGTCCTGTCGTACAATCGGCTCGTTTTGGCGAGCTTGAAGCGTGTCAAAGCTGGTCGAAATCATTCTGGCGCCACAGTCCCGCGCTAGTTTTGGATGCGTGTCGCAAACGTTTCAATCTTGGATGTCGTGGCAGGTGCAGCAGTTTGGATGATTTTGAGTTTGTGGCAAGCTTACTTTGCGTGACAGGCGCAGCACTTTCGAGCGTTTTGGTTGAATTCCGTGGCAGGCACAGCACTTTGGAGCTTTTCGTGCATTTTTTGTGGCAGGTGCAGTACTTTGGCGCCTGGGTGTAGATTTCGTGGCAGGCACGTCACTTTGAATCAGCCAAATCGCTCTCGCTGTGGCGCGGTGCACATTTTGAGAACGCGTGAACCCTCTGCGCACTTTGGACTTTGGGTGGGTCGAATCGCTCTCGCTGTGGCGCGGTTAGCATGCGAAGTGAACCCTCTGCGCACTTTGGGTGGGTCGAATCGGTCTCGCTGTGGCGCGGTGCGCATTCTGATCGCGCAAAGTGAACTCTCTGTGCACTTCGGGCGGGTCGAATCGCTCTCGCTGTGGCGCGGTGCGCATTTGGAGACAGAAGTGTCGTTCAATCAGGGGTGTCCAGTAGAAGTAGTGTCGATTATAGAAGTGTCGTTCAGAAGTGTCGTTCAGAAGTTTCGACCAGAAGTGTCGTTCAGAAGTGTCGTTAGAAGTGTCGTGCAGAAGTGTCGATCAGAAGTGTCGATCAGAAGTGTCGATCAGAAGTGTTGCGCAGAAGAGAGAGAGAGAGAGAGAGAGAGAGAGAGAGAGAGAGAGACGATCAGAAGTTTCAACCTGAAGTGTCGTTCAGAAGTGTCGATCAGAAGTGTCGATCGCAAGTTTCGATCAGAAGTGTCGTTCAGTAGTGTCCAAAGACAAGAGACGTGGCAAGAGACGTGACAAACTGCATTTCTCAGAAGTGTCGATCAGAAGTGTCCATCAGAATCGTTCAGGAGCGTCGGTCAGCAGTGTTGCTCAGAAATGTTGCGTCGCTCAGAAGTGTTAATCTGAAGTGTCAGTATCAATCAGAAGTGTTGCTCAGAAGTCTTGCTCAGAAGTGTCGCATCACTCAGAAGAGGGCTCAGAAATGTCAAGTAGAAGCGTTGCTCAGAAGTGTCGATCAGAAGTGTTGATCAGAACTTTTGCTCAGAAGTGTCGCTCAGAAATGTCGATCAGCAGTGTTTCTCATCGATCAGAAGTGCCGAGCAGACGCGTCGATTGCTAAGAAGCGTCGCGTCGCTCGGAAGTGCTGCTCAGAAGGGTCGATCAGATGTGTCGAGCACATGTGTCGATCAGAAGTGCCGATCAGAAGTGTTGCTCAGAAGTGTCAGAAGTGTTGCTCAGAAGTGTCGATCAGACGTTACGATCAGAACTGTCGATCAGAAGTGTTGCTCACAAGTGTTGCTGAGAAGTGTCGATCAGAAGTGTGGCCCAGCAGCTCAGAAGTGTCGTGCAGAAGTGTCGATCAGAGGTGTTGCTCAGAGTTGTCGCCCAGAAGTGTCGATCAGAAGCGTTGCTCAGAAGTGTTGCTCAGAAGTGTCGGTCAGCAGTGAGTGTCGCTCACAAGTGTCGCTCAGCGTGTCGATCAGCAGTGTCGATCGGGAGTGTTGCTCAGAAGTGTTGATCAGAAGTGTTGCTCAGAAGCGTCGGCAGGTCAGAATCGTCGTTTAGCATTGCCGATCAGAAGTGTTGGTCAGAAGTGTCGCGTGGCTCAGAATGTGTTGCTCAGAGGTGTCGCTCAGAGTGTTGCTCATGAAGTGTCGCTCAGAAGTGTCGATCAGCGGTGTTGCTCAGAAGCGTCGATCACAAGTGTTGCTCAGAAGTGTCGATCAGAAGTGTTGCTCAGAAGTGTCAACCAGAAGCGTGGATCAGATGTGTTGCTCAGAAGTGTCGCTCAGAAGTGTTGCTCAGAAGTGTCGCTCAGAGGTGTTGCTGCGCAGTGTGTCGCTCAGCCGCGTCACTCAGAGGTGTCGCTCAGATATGTGTGTGTAGAAGTGTCGCTCGAAACGTCGCTTAGGAGTGTCGCCCAGGAGTGTTGCTGATGTGTGTGTGTAGAAGCGCATGTGGCTCAGAAGTGTCTCTCAGAGGTGTTGTCCGCAGGGTCGCTCAGGAGTATCGCTCAGAACTGTTGCTCGGAAGTGTTGCTCAGACGTGTCGCTCATTCATTCATTCATTCATTCATTCATTCATTCATTCATTCATTCATTCATTCATTCATTTATTCATTCATTCATTCATCCATTCATTCATTCAGTCATTCATCCGTTCATTCATTCATTCATCCATTCATTCATTTCTCCATCCATCCATTCATTCATTCACTCACTCAGTCAGCCATTCATTCATTCATTCATTCATTCATTCATTCGTTCATTCATTCACTCACTCACTCACTCACTCACTCAGTCTCACTTCATGAGCACAAAATTCCCGCGCCAAGCTCGGAAGTGCTGCGCCTGCAACGAAATCTTCAGCCCACACTCTGAAGTATTGAGCCTGTGACAAAATCTTCACGCAAGAAGCTCGAAAGTGCCGCGCTTGCCACGAAATTGAGACCAAAAGCCCTGCAGTCACGCAACATAACCTTGCCACGAGCTCAACATCGTCCAACATACATGAACTCCAACGTTGACATGTTTACAGCACGGGCTTGATGAGTTCGGCGGATTTTGACACATTTCAACCTCACCCAAACGAGCCGATTGTACCACAAGGCCAATAAAAGTGACACTCGTGCATACGCTTGCGCGCGCCTGCCAAGGAAGGCGCCTCAAAACGACCACTCCTAAAACGCAAATGGATACTGCATGGCAATGCAAACGCGCAACCAACCAAAGCACTGCGCCTGCGCAGCGAAAGGGCTTGCAACGCTGCAGAAGACAGGGTTCACGCAGAGGCCCAACGAAGGTAGCGCGCCGCGTTTCACAGGAATCCCAACGGCATTCCACCCGCGGAGGTTTGAGGACGCCTGCGAACACTTGCGGACGCTTGCGGCCACACCAACACATCTCGCAAACACGTCCTGGCCCCCAACCCTTTAACCATGGGAACCCATTTTGCTCGCGGTTTCCCTCTCCCAAGCTTCATGTAGGGGCCATTTTCGCATGTGCCACATGTGCATGAGGACGGCAGACGGGGAAGTTCATCGGCTTGCTTGAGAATGTGCAAGCAGAGGCCGAATGGACAGCTACCTTGAAATTCTTCCGGTACCTTGGTGGCGCAGCAAGCTGGGTCCAGGACACGCCAGTAGAACAGGAACCCGCGCATGGGATGTTCAGAGCGATCCATGGGTTTCCAGAATGACAACTGCCTCCCCTTCAGTAACAGAATGCAGCGCTGAGTGAGGACCTGCGCAACGCGTGCCCCTTGCTGCAGCGGGAACAATAAATGACAGTTTCATTGGCCAAGTATACAATATAAGGGCAAAAGGGCGGATACTTTGCCAAAGTTTACTGGGAGCGTGCGTTTGGCCTGCACGTTTGCATCCTTATTTCAGAGCCCTTCGTTCTAGCCGGAGGGAAACAAGCAATCTACCAGGGACGAGAAGAGTCGTTCTAGAATGGCATCAGATGGAAGACCAGACAGCCTGTCGGAAGTCAGCAATCTCATGAAAGCTTGCTTCTGCCTTTCAAAGCAAAACGGTTTGGGAGAGTCTTGCGACAGGACTGGCAGGTTCCATGGCTGCCAGGGTTTCGTTTTTGGAGTCGCACGTTTGGCGGCAGCTTCTTGCGTGTTGAGCAAAACCCCGCGGCTTTCTTCTGGCGGTAGTTGTTGGTGAAGTGTCTTGGGCCCGCTTAACCTTGCCACCCTCTTAAACGAAATCCGGGTTAACAGAAATGGTTTGAATCTGTTTGAGCTGGGGCTACACTGATCAGCCGAGGGCTCAAGTTGTGCCGTGGCTCAGGGCTCTCGATGCCGTCTTCGTGTTCACCTTTCTAGCGGAATGGCTGGTGCGGGTCTACTTGGACAGAAAGAAGTTCTTAAAGGACTTCGCAAATTGGTTCGCCGCCCGGCGAACAGATCTTAACATTTTGGAGGGACACTCAAGGGTTCAGCTTTCGACAACAGGCCTCAGCCAGTCTGCCGTTTGCTTCTCCGTATGGGCAAAACGCGCATGATGTTCAACAGAGGCAGCCAAAAGGGGGATGGATGATTTAATAGTTTCGCTATGGCATAAACAAACACAAATATCCTAGAAGGTGCCGAATGTCATTCGAACTCCTGTGCTCGCCTGAGCACAAACTTACAATGTCACACATAATGCAACCATCACTTGGTATCAACACCCCCGAAGTGTAAGCACTGCGCCTGGTCAAATCACGCAGAAACTGCTTTGAACACAACCAACAAAGTCGGTGCTGCTTACGGTGTTTCAACCGGTTCCTGGTGCGCTGTCCTATTCACATGTTGCTCACATTTTCGAACAGCCAATGCTCCTGATCGGCACCATGCGGAACTAGCGTGGCAAAAAATTCGTCACGCCCAAGTGAATGTTTGTTAACTGCACGTCATCCCAAGGCCGCCCCCCAGAGCGGTACTGCCAAACTTGCGGCGCTTGGGTCTTTATTTTGCTTTTTAGTTGTCCTTTGGTAGCTTGACAGCCGTGTCAAATTGGATGCAAGCCGTGAAGCCTTTTTGCAGACCATGCTCTTTTGCAAAACCAGAGGATTCCGAAATGTGGCCTCATTCCAATATGTGTCCCCGCTGGCATCGGTTCTTCGCAATTTGATGGAGCAGCGCACGGCACCTCAAGGCTGGCACCAGCGCAAAACTGTCCGAGTCCCGAGCCAACTGAGAAAACTTCGAGCTGACGCATTGTCTTCGCCCAGCGCTCTGTTTGAACACAACCCGCACTTCCACAGTTTTGCGTCAAGGAATGATCCTTCAAGGTAGGATCGTTGGAATGACGGGGCGTTTGCCACTATTGATCGAGCACCATTCATCAAGCGCCCAGAGCGGGCCAAAAGCATTGATTGAAACTTTGTCTTGGGCTGATTGACCTTGTTTTCAGCCAGTGTCACCATGAATTTCAGGTTCCAGCTGAAAGACGTGAACCTTGTGTGACCCACAGACAGAGTCAAGTGTTGATATGATGCTCTCCGAGGGGTACATCAACAGACTCACACATTTTACATCGCAGATATACACTTTTACCAGGCATTGCAGATCCATCGACGCTAGTGCTATTTGGCAACAAGTTTACCTTCATCAATACAGATCTCAAGGTACAAGCCAAAATCACACCTGGTATCTGAATGTCTCTTGTCTTGCTTGTTATAAATCAAAGCATGCTTAACTTGTGTGGTTCTAGGGTTATGGGGAACGCATTCGAAGCGCTTCGACTGCGCGAAGCACCCCGCACGTTACCACCCCACTCCAACCCGCCCAACCCCGAAACAAGAATCAGCGTTTCGCGAAGCATGAGTGGCGTTGAGCATGAACAAGCACCCCCCGGACCACCCGCCGCCCCCACGCTTTTCTGAGGACACACTCTGCGTCTTGTCGGGCATCGCCGACCTGATCTTACGCGTCTCCGTGGACAGCACAGCCTCGCGCAGCGTGGTGGTTCTGCGGCTCATGCGCGCGCTGAAGTCTCTGCATCTCGGGCTGGCGGGAAGCCACTTGCAATGCCCAGTTCTTAGAAGTTTGGTTGGGAAATGCGTGTCCAGAGCGACCCAAAACATCAGAGGAGTAACAACAAGAAGCACGTGGTTTGAGAGGTACGTAGCTGCAACCACGCCTGGGCTATCCTGGTTCATCCACCTTGAATGAGCTTGCTGTTGCCTGAGTCGGTGTTTGGTCTGTTAGCGTGACACTGCTGGTGACAGGTACCTGTTCTTTTCAACGTTTTCAAACAAAAATCCAGTGCTGTTCAGGAGAGTCATACAAACCTCAGATTTGTTTGCCTTTCTGTGTAGGTTTGGGGGAGTCACTTTGCCCACTTTTTACCCGGAGGCCCTTGAATTTCGCAACCAGCGTACTCTTCGTAGTCCCCTTGTAAGGCGTCTTGAACGGGTTTGAAGGCTGCTTTGGCATGGCAACGGGGCTTCAGCGGAAGTAGTCGCTGTCCCATTCGGGTGCCTGAGCCTGGCCAAAATACCCAAGAAGTAGACAGCACATCCGGGCGCAACTTGCTCCCGGGCACGGGTTTTTCCGTCCGAGGCGGGCCATCCGCATGGTGCGGAGCCTCCGCTTCTTCCGGGGCCTACGGGTGCTGGTGCCGGGTCCCCGGTGTTGTTTCCTGGCCGGCCCGGCTGGTTGAGCGTTCGATCGGAGCGCGGGGTCTGGGTCCGAGCAGCTGGAAGCGCTGGCAAGTTCAGGAACTCAGAGAGTGCGACAGACAGGAAAAACAGTAGCTGCTACTCATGCTCGGGCTCCCAGTAAAGACAGCACTGTTGTCAAACGGGCTCGTTGAACTTGTCCTTTGGACTTGCTGGGAATTGGTTTGTTTGACAATTTCAACTAGTAGCAAAAGCAGTCACCAATCCACGGAAGTGAGCGACGCTGGTGAAGATATCGCCTGATTGCCGGCTGTAGGGTAAAAATTTGGCGGATGCCATGCGTAGTGTCAAGGGAACGTTGTCAATGTCTAGCAACTTGCCACGCTTTGGATCCGTACAAAGGGAACAGGAAGCAACATGTGCTTTCTTCAGCCCATATCCAGAACATGCTCTGGAAGGAGTTGAAGTTGTGAGGTTATCTAAGAACTGCTGGTTTTTATTCTTGAAATCCCCTGGGCAAACGTTCTACAAGCCACAGCTCATTCGCACATGAATGAGGGAGGGGGTTCGGGTCGGGTATTCGAATACACCCTGCAAGTTTGATCAATGGGAAGCAGCTTTTGGGCGTTGGGTACACGCTTAGCTTCCTTCAAGTCAGAAACCAACGCTTCCAATCCTAGCAAAACAGTACTGCGGAAGATCCTTTTTCGGGACTTTGTTCAATTTGCTTCAACGATTTGGCCGAGCCAAGCGTGGAATTGGAATTGATCCATATTTAGTGCATCTAAACAGCCCTGTGGATACCTGGTGCTGGGCGACCGGGAATGGGTTCCTCTGAGCTCGGCCTGCAGCGAGGCAGGCGTGCCAATGCTTCTTGCCGTCACTTTGCTGGTCGATGGTCCTCCTCGGGGTCTTCATGACCATGGGCGCGCTGATGATGGGAAACCTGCTGCAGGCCAGTTTGCTCAGCCCGGAAAGCGAGCCACTGGACACCCGAACACTGCCCTGTAGATGACATTCCTGCGGATGAGATGCATGAAGGGAGAAACCGCCCAACTGGTGCGACCATCCTCACTTTTCAGTGTTTCATCTTTGTCCTGCCGGGCCCTGCGGGCAGGGAAGAGAAAGCTGCACATGTCCTCGGGCAAAGATACCCCCAGCCAACGCGGAGGAACCCGAAACAAAAGCCCCCAAAAGGATGGACCGCTGAAAACGACGTCCTGAATGGTTTGACGGCACATGTCAGGAGAGAAGGGGACTGCGGCGGGCTGGTGGGATGTCGCTTAAGAATTGACTTTTTGAAAAACAAGCCCAAGAGCTTAAGCGTTGCATAGCGCTGCCTTCGCAAGCTTGATCTGATTGACTGCCACCCGATTCTATGTTTCATAGGGAAAGGGCCTAAAGCATTACCCGCCTTCTTGCTTCAGCCTAGGCGTTTATCTTGGACGAGAACCTGGAGCTAGCTGATCGCCAGTGGCTCTGGTCGCGGTACGGCACCGCGTACCGAGCCACCTACACCCTCTTCGAGCACCGAGGCTGACATGGGCTTTTTCGCAGCTGTGCCTTCAGAACAATGCTAAGTCCCGAAAACCTGCCATCGACACACAAATGAGAAGGCGTTATACTGCGGCTTGGGGTTCTCAAGTTTGACACTTGGCAACCAGGCACCTTAGCAAAACGTTTCCGGGTGATAGCCCCCCACTGGGTCTGGTGTCAGAGGCCGACTGATGACGTGATCCCCCCTCTCTCTCTCTCTCTCTCTCTCTCTCTCTCTCTCTCTCTTCGGCTTCTTCTTCTTCGCCGTTGTCCAGTCCCCGTCGTTTCGGCGGCGGCGGGCGGAGGATGCGGTGAGTTTCTCTCTCTTTAATTTCTAATGATCTCGGCTCGGCCGTTGCGTCGGCCGTCCTCCTCGCGTGGTCTGCGCTGTGTGGCTTCGTGTCGCGTGAGGCCTTCCGGCCCCTGCCGCGGCGCCCTCCGCTGTCCCTGCCTGGTGTGCCCCGTTTTGTGGCGTCTCCTTGGTCTGTGGCCTGCTGGTGCGGCCCGCTGTGGCGGCCCCCCTTCTTTCTTGGGGTCTGGGGGTTGCGTCTGCGGCGCTTCCCCGTTCTCGGCTTCGGTCCCTGGCTCGGGGCCGGCCGGTGCTTCTCTGTCCTTCGGCTTTTCCGGCTCGGTGTGGGCTTTCTGCCCCTGGGTCGCCTTCTCGCGCCCGCGGGCTTTGGCTCTCGTCTTTCTCCGGGTGGTCGCGGTGGCGGCTGCCTGGCCGGTCTTTGTTCCGGCTGGCTGCGTGGGCTCCTCTGTCTCTCGTGCTGGCTCGGGGTCTTTGTGGCGGCTTTG